ACCACTAGAAATGAGCTAGCTGGCAGCCCCATGGTTTCCACCTCTGACCCATTAGCACTGCTGAGAGCTCATGTAAACCCCCCAGCTGCATGACAGCAGCTGGACGAGCCCACAAGAATGTTCTGAAGAAACAGTTTTGGTTGATTTCCCGGACAGTACATTTGCAAGAGCTGTGCTTTAAACAAAGTGAGGAGAAACAGTAACTGAAAAAACAAACGGAACCGCTGTCAAGACCCGCACACGCACCACACCCAGAGCAGAACACCTTTCTTCAACCACATTTTTTTCAAAATGTGTCATCTCAAATTCAAAACAAATTCATGATGATACTTCCACACACCCACTTGCTTTGATTGCTCAGTATTTTAGGTTTTTTTTCAACTTAATTTTAAAAAGCACAAGATTTTTGATCCCCCTAATTCAATTAAGCATATCAAAAACTACAAAAAGAAGCACAAAAGTAAAGTAATAAAGAGGAAAAGAGTAACCTACCTTATACACCTCAAAATTCTGATTTAATTTTACAACTTGCAGTGGTTTCAGAAACAGATTTTTATCTTGCTCATTTATTTGTATACGTGAATATTTAGATTTGTCACCGGTGTCCTCCCACAGTCGAAAAAGACGTAATGGTAGGTTAATTGGCACCTGGGAAAATTGGCCCTGCTGTGAGTGAGTGTCTGTGTCTGTGTCTATGTGCACCCTGTGAGGCACTGGCATCACATCCAGGGTGTAACCCGCCTTGTGCCTTGTTGGGATAAGATCCGGCTAGAAAGACATCCATAACACACATAACCAAAATTTATAGTAAATGTTTAATGTACACTCACTTTCTAAAATGTTTGAATGTTGATGTGCTGTAACAGTGTTTTTAGTACTTGACTTCAATGAAAACCTCAAGTTACCAGTCAGTCACAAATCCCATTCCTGATACCTGAGCTGTTTGTCTGCTATAAGGATCCACTTCAGCCTAGTCACCCTGTCACAAACCTAGTTTATAGTGTGTGATTAGTAAACGGAAAGAAGTTTAGACACAGCTTGTCTTTAATATTTAATGTAAAGCACAGCTACAGTCACACAACATTTTATAAAAATTAAATCTAATTTGGATCATGCCAACAATAAAACTGATGATACACCATGTGCCACAGGAAAGTCCACAGATCTACAAAATGCTCAGATAAAAAAAGTGTCTAGATTCTCATGAATTAGATATTCATGAATACTCCCCCCGGTCATAAAAACACAGTCCCTAACCCTACTCCTATCACCGTCCTGTAATCTAATCTTCAATCAAACCCAGATCTTCTTAGCAGAAGCTCCACAAATTACAGAGGACATGAAAAGCAAGCCCCTTGACAGTTTCACAGCTACTGAACAAGGTGGCTTTGTGATTTATGCTGAATTGTCAGTCTGTGAGCTGACTCCCCCTCAGCATTACTGCCACAATGAAAACAGCAGAAAACAAGATGCTAGGTCTGCATGACACACAGGATTTCACAAGTGTTTAATCCACGAGGGGCAAGAGATTTTTAGAATTTTTTTCAATTCCATTTTGTTTAAGAGATTAGCAACTTGCCAAATACTTTGTCTTGAAAGTCCCCTGGTTTAAAATCCCATGTGCAAGAAGAGAATTTCTTCCATCCTGCTGTTTCTCACTGTCTCATTCCCAACAGGCCGAGTAATAGCGGTTTAAGGGCTTGTTGGCAGCCCGGATTATTCCATGCAGTATGAAGTACGATTTTGTAAAAACAAAAACCACTTCAAACATGTGCTGCCACCACGATGATATTGTCAGTCTACAGGCACAGCATCCTCGGAAGACCTGCTAATTCATTTCTTGATTTGAGAAGAAAAAGAGATAGAAATCCCCAAAAAGCTTTGATTTAGTTTCGAATCTATGAATAAAAAGGAAATAGAAAAAAAAAACACCACCATTTTTTGAGTATGTCAATGATGTTTTGAAAAAGCACACAGTTTGCAAGAGACTTGTCCTTATGATCTTTCTGGTTTTCCTTTCCTTGTATTTTATCCAGATTAAGATTTGGAACTATGTTTTGCCTTTTTATTTACTGTCCATGATGTTGCTGTGCAGCATTACCTGTATGTATCTGGCTCCTATTATGAATTATGAGCATAACTGGTAAAAACAATTAGTACTAATTACCATTGGCAGAAGATGAAAAGACTTGCACAACACATGCAGCCAAGCCACATTATGTAAATGTCTGGGTAATTGTGTTGGAGCCCTCTCAGGAGGGGCCCAATCAAGGAATTAATTTGCTGTTTATACAAGTCATCAATATTTTTTTCAACAAAATACATGGAACAGGGCCTCAAAGAGGACTCTATCTGTGACCCCGGTGAAAAGCAGGTCTATAAGTGAAACTGTGGCTATAGACATTCCATGTCACGCCTTTGTTATGCCATGAAACAGATCACCACTGATTGTGCCATGCATGACTTTACCACTGTATGCTTCACCAAGCTGTACCATCTTGGCAGACCAGACTAAACATTTGCAAAGGAAGTTCAGTGCTAATCATGTACACATGAGAAGCCAATGAGAACAAACCACTGGGGCCTTACTTCTATAGCAGAATTAATGACCCGTGCTAACCAAAGCTGAACACGGGGGTAACACTGGATCTGTGTGCATCCAGTTCCTGACTTGGTAATAAACACAGCTGTAAAAGGAAGACGCATTCCTACTTCTCTTACTTAGAAGAGTTGCCCACTTTTTAAACAGTTACCAGGATGTACATAGGCAGACAAGAAAACTCACCGACAGCTAACAACACTGACGTTAACACACGAGCCTCAGGTTCTTTGTATGATATGAGCTGGTCAGAACAAGATAACAGT